TGAGATGTCTCCCCTATGGTCTGTCAATGGCTTCTACGTGGAGTTCTTACACTATAGAGTATCTTGGCCAAAAAGAGACTCAAAGAGCTAAAGATGGTCCATTCCTTTGGAGGTACTCCACCTATCTTTAGGGAATGTTGTTCAGCCAGTTCTCACAGGGTTGAGTCCTCCCCTGGGGTAGATTCTAGCCCAGTTTCTTGTTGGGAGGATTCACTTCCTATCCCCAGGCATTTCCTCTGGAGCTGGCCTTAATATCCTCTGTCTTTTGACAGAGTTGCTTCCCAACAGTGGTTTATTCTTGGCTTTACCTCTGGACTGGCTGCCTCCTGCCCTGGTGGGTACAATGCTAAGGTATGGTGGATAGCTATTGGTACCAGGTGGGGCTAGGACTGCTGCACTCTCTTGCCATCCACTGTGTCAAGAGAGAAGTGATATTGGGGTTACTGCAGTTAAAATAAGAGAGGATGGCCCTTTGTAAAATTACCAAGAGGAGGGGCTTGTGTGGTAGGTACTCTATCAGTTGGTGTGGGAAACCCATTCTACTCTTATTTCACTGGAGTTGGGCTTCTTGCTCAGGGCACTCCCAAATGGGGAGACAGAGAGACATTGTACTTCATATACCAAGAGCTCTAGAAACACAAGGTCTCCCTGGTCATGACTTGGTGATATCCCCAGATTGTCCTGGAAATCAGGCATCCCACAAATCTTGGGGAGCTCTGGGCAAGAAGTACTGACGAGGCTGTGGCAGTGTGGAACAAAAAGACAGGTTATAACAAGGGGCTCTCACAGTGGGTTTGCAGCCCTTAGGTTTTGTGGCTTTTGAGAGCCATTATGGTCCCCACCCAACCTCCAGCCCTGAGCACCCATGAGGAAGAAGAGTGGGCCTGTCCTACCTGAGATGTACTAAGTATCTCACTCCCGGTGGTCTGTCATGGCCAACACCTCTCAGAGGGCCCTGGGGCTGAAGAGGAAGCTGGGGACAACAGAGAGAGGCTGTTGATGTTATCACTAGGATTAGGCCTCCTGACTGAGAGGAGACCATGCAGCATCCATGCAGGTGTCATCCTGTTTCTCGTGCTTGTCCTGGGAATATTCTCCAGCTGCCCTCAGCATATGCAGAGAACATCTCACACCAGGGCTGCGGACATGCTAATACATCTTGATAATTAACACTTTGTCTTTCAGAGCAGTGACAGTCCCACTTCCTTGAGGCCAGATCTAGGCCACTGTCCCATTTAAAAGTAGAACAGTTCCCAAATGCGAATAAGGGAGGAACTGGCTGGTAGGTCTTGGAGTGGGAAAGGCATAAACCCCTGGGCTGAGAGGATAGGTGAACCTATCTCTCAAATCTTGTGATTCTTAGTTCACCCTGCCTTCTGCCTCTAGTGTGGTTACACTTAAGTCATGAAACAGTGAGGCAGTGTCTGGGGCAGGGATCTCTGAGAATCACTATTTGCTGTGCCCAACCTCCTAAGACAGCCTGACTTGTAGCAGAGGTCAAACGGTGTTTGCTAAACACACACACACTGGAGTAAAATGAGGAGCAAATGAAGTAAGTGCTTTCAGCAGTAGGGAGGGGGCTTTGTCCACCAACAAGTCCTGTAAGAGAAAGGACAACCATTGGGGTGGCTCAGGGCTGCCACCCAGAGTGGGAGCCAAGCTATGTTCTTATGAAGCCCTCTCCTTCGTGTTCTCTTTGGAGTACGGCCTAGGCAACCAGAATGTGAACAAAGACTGGATCCACCTGTGTTGGCATTCTTCAGTGCCCCACCTGTCACCACATGCTAATTATACTGGTGTGCTCTGGCCTAGATGGGGAAGACCTGGGAGGGGCTAGCTTCATTCACTCAAAGAAGGGCCCAGTGTCCTTGGCAAAGTGGCATAGATGTGGTAATTGCTTCTATAGAGGGTTGACCAAGCCAGAGAAACAGCCAGGCCTGTAGCTAAGGCTGCTGCTGGATCCCCCTTCTACCCTTTCAGAGATCCCTGAGTATAGTTGTCAGAACCCAGAAGGAAGGCATGTAGAATTTTGCACAGCTGCCTACCATACGTGTGGACTTGTCAACCACCAGGCTACAGAAGGTGCTGGGGCCTATATTGTGCTGAAAAGCCAGCAGAAGGAAGGTAGGTTTCAAGAGGCACCCATGCACAGTTAGGTGTGGTGACACATGCTTATAATCCTACCCTTGGGAGACAGTGGCAGGAGGATCAGGGGTACTTATGGTTTTAGGCTAGCCTAGGATACATGAGACCCTATCTGAAAACAAACAGAGACGTCCTGATGCTAGCTTCTTGAGATAAGAGGGCTCCCTAGGCAAGTGAAGTGGCAAGGCCAGTATTGTCAATAGATCACCTCAGGGCCTTGTTGTAAGCAGTTTCTGCCCCATGGGCATCTCTGCTCAGCCCAGCTTCCAGTACTCTTCCCTCCCTCTCACCGGCTCAGGGTTTGAATGAGAGAAGAGCACAAGACATGCTGGACTATATTTCTCACAGGAGGCCATGGGTTTTGTTTTTGATTTTTGTTTTTTTGTTTGTTTGTTTTTTGATTTGTTTTTTTAGAGACAGGGTTTCTCTGTGTAGCTTTGGAGCCCATCCTGGAACTTGCTCTGTAGTTTTGCTTTGTTAGTTGGCTGGCTTCCAACCAACAAAGATGTGCCTGCCTCTGCCGCTCAAGTGCTGGGATTAAAGGTATGTGGTGTGTCACCACCACCTGCCTTCTTTTTGTTGTTTTGTTTTTGTTTTTTTCAACACAGGGTTTCTCTGTGTAGCTCTGGCTGTCCTAGAACTCACTCTGTAGACCAGGATGGCCTCGAAGAGGAAACTCCCATGGCAGGGCTTGTCAGTTTGGGGGATAGTTCTGGCACTGACACAACCACAGGAAAGGCCAATATACTAGGTGACCATTGTAATGTGGGGCTGATAGATAGGAGCATATATTGCTGGACAGCTAAACAGAATCCTGCCACCAACAGTTCACTGATGCCCCAAACAAAGCCATTAGCACATGTGGCTACTGAGTCCCATGAAGAGATCTTGATCAGGAGCCCGGTGTTAGTGGTGCATGCCTTTAATCCCAGCACTCAGGAGGCAGAGTTCAAGGCGAGCCTGGTCTCCAAAGCAAGTGCCAGGATAGGCTCCAAAGCTACACAGAGAAACCCTGTCTCGGGGAAAAAAAAAAAAAAAAAAATCTTGATCAGGGCCAAGTGCCATGGTCATACCTATATATGTAGTACTAAGGAAACTGAGGCAAGAGAATCAGGAGTTTGCTACCAGCTTAGGCTACACTATAAGACCCTATGTGAAAACAATCAAAGCCAGTAGGAGTGTGAGGTTAGCTAAGATTACTTAGTAACATCCTGAAAGGGCGGGGGAGTTGGGAGAAGCACCTTGACCAGAAAATGGATACTTAGTAACTCAATGTCATTTGCGGTAATATTATACTGACAGGACAACATTCTAGATATGTTAGTTTACACAAAATGTGCTGAAGTCTACCTGATTTTTGTTTTTGTTGTTTTGTGGGGGATTTTTTTTTAATGTGTATGAATGTTTTGCCTGCATGTGTGTGTGTGCCTGGTACCCATGAGGGTCAGAAGAGCATGGAACTGGAGTTACAGGTGGTTGTGAAACATCCTGTGGATGCTGGGAATCCAACCCAGGTCCTCTGCAACAAGTACTCTTAATCATTGAGCCATCTCTCAGGCTCCCTGCTTTGTACATTTTTGAGACAGGGTCTCAGTATGTACCCCAGACTGACCTAGAAATCTTGATTCGTCTGCTTTAGTTTCCTTAGTGCTGGATTACAGATGTGCACATACCCAGCTCTACCTGTTCTTTTTTAGTTTTTGTATTATCATCATCATCATTGTGGGGGGCAGGGAACATGTGCACAAATGTGGAGGTCAGCAGACTGTTTTGGGAGTTTTTCCACTGGGGGTTCTGGCCAGATCTCCAGCCCTCTCTTAGTTCCTTGTGCCTCCTCTAGTTTACAGGAAGCCTGAACCTGTACTGTAGGTCTGGTCTGGGCCAGCCAGCCCTCCTTAAAGGAACAGTTGGGGAGCACTTGCAGATCTTGTGTTGTGTGGCCTCTGAGAGAAGCCACAGACAGCATGTAAATAAATGGGCACAGCCTTGTCTAGCAAAACCATTTGTAGACACTAAAATGTAAATTTCAAGTTGACATGGTAGCTTACACTTGTTATCACAGCACTTGGGAGGCAGAAGCAGGAGGACTCTGAGTTTAAACCCAATCTGGGCTACATAGTGAGACCCTGTCTCCAGAAAAAGGAAGTGTGTATGTGACATTTTAGTTCATCTCCCTTCTTCCCTCCCACCCTCCTTCCCTCCCTTCCTCTCTCCCTTTTTCCCTCTCCCTTCCTTCCTTTTTTTTTTCTTTCTTTTTTTTTTTCTTTTTTCTTTCTTTCTCTGGCCTGGCAGTGATGACACACTCCATTAATCCCAGCACTCAGGAGGCAGGTGGATCTCTGAATTTGAGGGCCAGCCTGGTATAACAAGCTAGGGCTTGTTATACAGAGAAACACTGTCTCGAGGGGGCCAGGGGACCACACCTAACTCTGTAGACCAGACTAGCCTTGAACCTACAGAGACCCACCTGCCTCTGCCTCCCAAACACTGAGATTAAAGGTGTGTGCCACCATCACATGGCTCATTTTGTTTTCTAGCCAGTTCAAAGTACGAATTAAAAGCTTTCAAATCTCACCGGGTCACCAAGCCAATAGGGCCAGTCCCTTGCAGAAGCAGCCCTCACATGCTAACTCAGAGGTGGTAGGGAAATGCTGCTTCATGAGAGAAACAGCTGGTTCTGATTGAAACCTCTTGCAGAACTACCTGGCCCCATGACTGGGTGTGTTGGAGAGGAGTTGGGCTTGATGTTGGTAATTCTCTCAGTGCTGGCTCTCAGAGGAGTACGCAGGCTTTTATCTGTCATGTGGGGCTGTCCCCTGAGCCCAAAGTACTTTGTAGGTGTGTCTCTTGGCTCTTTCTATCAGTTTCTCATCATCTATACCCTATTACCAAAGTCAGTGTTATAGAGGCTTACTCAGAAGCCAGAAAAAGTGCTGTCAGCAGGTGATAGGAAACCTAGGGTAGGGACTGCTGAAACAAAAGTTTGTGATCTACCCAGTCAGTGGGCAGCACAGATGATACACACCTTAACCTAGAGCCCAAAGAGGGGACCTGCACACATACCCAGTGTGTGTTGGTCTCCCAACTACCAAGTCCTCCCTGTCCCAAGGATCATACTCAGATTTGTTTGGTTTCATTACCACCCCCTCCTAGCCAGCAGGTGTAAAATGGCTCTCCCTGCAACACAAGCAGTCTACCCTCTTCCTCCTAGGCATGGACAGTTTCTCAGGTTCCCTGACATTCTTCAGGTCTAGGGTTTGCCTGGTAAGTATGTGTGTTTACACAGTCAGCTGCTGCCCTTCTAAAGGCACAGTTTGGCCCTGACCTCTTAGATCTTCAAGTACCATCCCACTGTGCCCTCTGCGCCTTCATTTTTTTTCCCTTTCCTGTGTGCTAAATGTCCTTGATAGTTTCCTCTGTAATAAGGTAAAACTATTCTCCTAATTGAGAAATAAAGCCCCTTTGAAGACTAGAGACAAGTTTGAGAGGGATGATGGATCTTTCAGATCAGGATGATAACCCTGAAACCCTAATAAGCTGCTGCTCCATTTGGTACTGGCCTTTGGCCTCTGGCCTATATTCCCTTGTGGGTCTTGTCTATAGGATATGCCCTAAAGTGCTAAATTCTTTAAAGTCATGCCCAGGTCCCTGAACCTCACTTTGTCCTTGTGTACTCCAGGCCACCTGGCATGCTGGGAAATTCCCAGGGCCTAGAGTTTCATCTGTGTGAATCACACTGTTTCTTCTCTCTTTTTATTCTGTTTATTTTTGTTGTTGTGTCACTGACCAGCCGGCTGCCCTTTCTCCGGTGTGGGCCCTCTCCTCTCTCCATGCTTCCGTTCGCGTTCCACCGGCCAGAGGTGACCAGGCCCCGCTCTCTACGTGGCCACTGTCAGGGGGGCCATGGGGAGCTCTGCCTCCTCCCTGGCTGCCGAGACGGAGTCAGACCACGGCTTCCCTGGGGGGCCACCCTACCCAGGGCCCCCAACAGCAGCTGGCTGGTGTAGGAGCGGCCCTGGGGAGACTGTCTGGGGAAGTGCTCTGGTCACCAGGCAGCACCCACGTCCCCGGGCCCGAAGGTAAGAAGGTGGGGAGGGGCAACCCTGAGGGGTCTTAGGCAGGGAGACTTCTTTTTCAATGTGTCCCTCCTTGGCACAGATGCTTGCTCAGAACAGGGTTTCTGTTTATCAGTGCTCTCTGGCAACTCACTTCCCCTGAAGGTACAGGAGCTGATCTGATCCTGGGTTATTGCTGCTCTTGGTTGGAAGGTCTGAGGCTTTCCTTTGTCTAAGGTTCTGCTACGGCCCACTGTTGAGCAGTACTTGCCCAGGGCCTGCTCAATTCCTATGAAGGCTGTCTGGAGATCCCCTGCCTGGGAAGTTGATGACTTCAGCCCTTGTAGCTAGCATGCATTAAGAATGCTGGCTTTCTAGCCGGGCGTTGGTGGCGCACTCCTTTAATCCCAGCACTCAGGAGGCAAAGGCAGGTGGATCTCTGTGAGTTCGAGACCAGCCTGGTCTACAAGAGCTAGTTCCAGGACAGCCTCCAAAGCCACACAGAAACCCTGTCAAAAAACTGGCTTTCTTCACACAATTGTCAGAATTGAACATTGTTTCCCTTACCAGCCTATGGTACCTACACTCCAGTATAGCTGCCTCTAGGGATGCCATTCTGGCTGTGGGGAACCACAGGAGTCATGCATGTCATTAGCCTCCTTTTGGAAGAGTATCTGGCACCCCCTAAATATCCAGGGCTCCACCTCAGAGAGGATGCAGACCTAGTAGCTCTGTTCTAGAGACCCAGATAACACTGATCTGTTCTTTACTCAGAGAAGTGCATGGTTATGACTTCCACAAACAGCTCACTCACCCATCTGTCAGGCATAGGAAGATAGCTGAACATAGAGCACAGACAAGAGACTGCCTTCTGAGGTGCCTTTAACACCAAGAGGTCAGCTGGCAGACAAGTGACCTTTAGGAGATGCTGGAAGAAGGCACTGAGACTGTGTGAGTCTGTAGAGCAGAGTCAGGCTAGTGGTTGGGAGACTCAACCATTAGGAACTCAAGGTACAGAGAGACAGGACAAGCAGAAGTTTGGCAGGGACCTCAAGCAAGTGAAGGCGCATGAAGGCATTACAGTGCTTCCGTTCCCTTAGTACTGCAAGATGCTACAGGCAATACCTCCAATGCAAGTTTTAACTCCTATAAGCAGTTTTCTCAGAATGTGACTGACACAGTCTTAGTTTTTCTGTTGCTGTGATAAAATACCCTGGACCAAAATCAACTAGGGGAGGGAAGAATTTATTTCAGCTTACAGTTCCACAGCACAGTCCGTCACTGAAAGAACACAGGGCAGAAACCTGGAGGCAGGAGCTGATGGAGAAGCCATAGAGGAGTGCTATTTTCTGGGTTGCTCCTCATGGCTTGCTCAGCTTGCCTCATAGCATCCAGGACCACCAATACAAGGTGACACTGCCCACAGTAAGCTGGACCCTCCTACATCTATCATCAATCATGAAACTGCACCACAGGCTTGCTCACAAACCAGATAGTGGGGGAATTTTCTCAGTTGAGGATCCCTCTTCCAAAATGACTCCAGCTTGTATCAAGTCGACATAAAACTACACACACACCATCAAATTCACCTGTTACCAATGTATATTCAGGTCATTTTCAAACAGTTCAAAGCTTATGAGTTAGTTTGAACCTAAAAGAGATCCTGTTTGTAGTCATTCTGGCCCCAGGTAGCCACTAACCTGCTTCCTGTTGGTAGGTTTACCTTTTCTAGAGATTTCACATGTGACCTGGGTGTCTGACTGGCTTCTTTCACTCAGCATACTGTCCTCAAGGTTCATCCACATTGCAGCATGGACTGGCCTCCCTCTTTTACATGCTTCAGTGGTACTCTGCTGTGAAAATAAGCTACCTTTGGCGTGTCTGCTCATAAATAGTGTGTTATTTCCACTTAGCTTTTATGAACATTCATGCTAAGGGTTTTTATGTGGGCATGTGTTAATGGTTTGGGGTATATCCCCGATCTGGAGCTACTGTGTTTGTGGTGAGTTTATGCAACATCTGAGAAGCACTTGCTGTCTTGGGGGTTGGCCCACTCACATTCCCACTAACAGTGCTGACAGGGTTCTGATGTCCCTGAGTTTGATAATGCTTGCTATCATCTGTCTTTGACTCTAACCATCCTGCAGGGTGTGCGGTGGAGCTTTACTTGATTTAATTTGCATTTTTCTGATGGCTGTTAGTGTTGAACATCTCATGTTTTCATATGTGTGTGTATATATGTATGAATGTATCTCCTAAGGAAAAAATGTTGAGTAGAATTGCTAAGCCCACACTGTGGCTTTGTGTGCTGCGGCTATATGTTGGACTTGTTTTCTCAGTCTTGTATTAGTAAGCAGTGCCCCAGCAGAGAATGTCACCATATACATGTCATATGGGTGGATGGCTCTCCTACTTTTATATTTTACTAAGTTCATGTATGTAAATGAAAGTTCAAGGTCATTGTTGTTTGATTTTTAAGTGAGTTGGGGTGGGGCATGACGGGTTGCTCAACATTGTGTATTACACCTATAGCTGCAGAATTTGGCAAGAGGCATAGTAAGATTGCTGAGAGTTTGAGGCAGCCTTGTCCACATAGTGAGCTCCAGGCTAGCCAGGGCTGCTGAGTGAGACCCTGTCTCAAAAAACACAAGTAAAGGCACAAGATTTGGGAGGTTATAGAGGTGGCACAGTGGTTAAGAACACTGAACCGTCTTCTAGGGGCCCTGGGCTCAGTTCACATTGTGGCTTATAACCATCTGGAGCTCTGCTCCTGGGATTGCAGTGCCTCTTCTGACCTCTAGGGGCTGCAGCGTGTGCATGGCACTCAGCACATACACATGAATAGTTTTTTTTAAAGCACAAGATTTTTGAGGCAGGTGGATCTCTGAGTTAGAGGCCAGCCTGGTCTACATGGTGAGTTCCAGGACAGCCAGGGCTACACAGAGAGACCCTGGCTCTAAATAAATAAATAAATCACAAATTTTTAAATCCAGAACAATGGCCAGGCATGATGGTGTGTGCCTATAGTGCCAACACTGTAGAGGCAGAAGCAGGAGGATCAGGAGTTCAAGAACAGCCTGGACTATGTGAGAAAAAACAAATTTAAGACACCCAGGACTGTTTGGCTGGACAGTTTTCATCTGAGATAAAGTAGGAGGAGAGAGACCCAAGGCATGAGGATGTGTCTTCACTCCATATTGCTCCAGTCTTCCCCTAAATTGATGTCCCCAATATGTACTAGCTCTCACTAGGCCTAGGACTTCAGTAAGCAGCTGGCATCCAACTTGAATCAGAAATAAACTGTTAATGATCTGGAAGAATCTATACATATCAAAGCTAGAGAGGTGATGGACATCAGAGGGTTACTGGCTAGACGGATGGCAGGAAAGCAGGAGGTGACACTACTCTGTGGCCACCCTTCAGGACTTCTTCTCCACATAATGTGTGTACACTCACACAGAAGTAACACAACACAAGCATAGGAAACAGACAGCCTTTTCCCCAGCACTTATAGGGCACTAGGTGGGCCGAGAGAAGCCTGGGGCGGAAACTAGCAGCCATAGCAGCTCCTCATATCTGTCAGCACTGCTAGCTTTAGCTACCTAGGGACAGACAAACAGGACACACCCATCCAGAAAGGCTGAGCAGGCCAAGCTGAAGAGCCCAGGAGAAGAGCCTGGTACATTTCCCTAGAAAGGGAGACACTACCCTCACCCTTATATAGGCCCTCAGGACAGTCTAACTTGTGCACACATTAGGGATAAGAAACTGGCAAGGGCAAGACATGGAGCTGCTCTGTTGGGCAGGGGCATCCGTCTTTTAGTGGCCTGATTAGTAGTTTTATTGGTTCTTCCTAAGAGAGAAAAGATTGCTGCCAAGACCACAGCAGGAGGTAGCAGCCTCTCGCTCCCCTGGGTGCTCATTTCCTGGTTACTCAGGTAGACTCTTGTAGCTTTGGAGCCTGTCACCTCCCTTTGCATGAGGTCTTAGTGTTGATATGCCCAGGAAGCTAACAACAAAGCCCATGTTCTAAGTGGACTTCTCTGGCAGTTGCCTCAATATATGCTCTCTGTTGTGAGCTGGTGTCCTGAAGAGTTGAAATTACTTTGTGAGCTCATGTGCCATGATTTAGGAGAGTTTGTTTTGAGAATTCTAGAAAATCAAGTACAAAAACCCTTTTTAATTTCTTCTCGCTTCTGGATCAAGTATCATACATGCTAAGTAAGCACTCTGCCACCTAGCGACACTCTAGCCCTGGTGTTGAGAATTCCTCAGTGGTTTTGCCAGAGTCTGTATACAGATTGCATTGGGTCTTCAGCACTGCACAGACTTTTACTGCAGACTTTAGTGGTGATTTGGTCTTACCTTTGAACTTCAGGTCTTGAGCCCTGGGTCCTTCCCAGGCCTTGCAGTATAGGACTGGCCATGGACTATAGGCATTAGCCAAATGAACCAAAGAGGGTGACAGGTAGGGGTCCTGCCCTGTGAGGTTCACAGCACACAGATGACCACAGATAACCCTGAGAGTCCTTGGTCATGACAGGTTTTCTAGTTACAGCAGACCACAGGGTGGCCTCTGACTAATCTGTCCCACTTCCAGGAACAAGTTTGATCTTTAGGTGTTGTTGTGTTTGCAGCTGCCCTATATTAAAGATAAAGTCTTCCTCATTTGGCTCATCTACTAAGAGTTTCCCATGTGGTTCCCCTATCTACCTCTCATCCCAGCTAACGGCTGTGCTTTAGGTTCATTTGAGCTAAAGCCAGACCCTGGCCACCCTGGCTGTTTCCTGAGATGAAACCTGATCTTCCTTCATAGTATTTTTGAAATTTGTATTATTCATTTTTCTCCTTGCTATAACAAAAAAACCTGACAAAGCCAACTTAAGGGAATAAGGATTTATTTTAGCTTACAGGTTTTTTTTGTTTTTTGTTTTGTTTTGTTTGTTTTTAGTTTTTCAAGACAGGATTTCTCATAGTACTATGTAGACCTGGCTGGCCTTGCACTCACAGAGCCTTCCTTTGCCTCCTAAGCACTGGGATTAAGAGCATGCACCATCACTGCCCGGCTAGCTTACAGTTTTTGTGTGTTCATATTCCATAATAGAGAAGGTTTGCTGGTGGGAGTCAGAGGTGTATCTCAGAGGGACCAGAGTGATCCACCTGCCTCTGCCTCCAGAGTGCTGGGATTATGGGCATGCGCCACCACACCTGGCTCATGCCAACATTCAAGTCAGTCTCTTAACCATGAAACTTACATAATTCCAATATATGATGACATAGAGTAAGCATACCCCATTCCAAAAGAGAGGAAATGGGGCATAGCAAGGTAGAATTCTGAAAACCCAAATTCTGCATCTGTGGCTTGTTGTGACATCATCTAGACTCCAACAGCCTTGAGTAATCCCATTGTCCACTTCTGCTATCTACACCACATATAGCCTCTCTCTTTTAGGCCAACTCCACTCCATTCATGCAGCTTTCCTCAGAAGACATTTTATGGTCCTGGCATTTCCAGCATCATGGGGTGTTCATTGCATCTTGGAATTTATCTTCATAGCACTGTGCCTTCTCAAGGCCTTGCAGAAAATCTTAACTAGGTATTCAAATCTGTAAGCCTGTGGGGTCATTTTCATTCAAACCATCACAGAAGGTATATAGTCCATTATTCAAGGAAAGCAAGGCCATTATTCAAGGAGCATGAGGCAGCTGGTTGTATTGTCTGCAGTTAAGAAGCAAAGAGGCTCATGCTTTCTGCTTTTTTTTCCTTTTTTAAATAATAATTCATGTTGTGTGTGCACGTACATGCATGCCATGGCCCACCTGTGGAGGCCAGCAGACACTTTATGAGAGTTGGTTCTTTCCTTCCACCATGTGGGTCACCAGATGTCAAACTCAGTTCATCAGATTTACTGGCCCTCCTTTTCCCCTTTTTATTTAATCTAGGATCCCAGCCTATGGGATGGTGCTGCCCACACACAAAGTGGGTCTTCTGGGCTAGGTGTAATGGGACATGCTATTAATCGTAGCACTGGAAGAGGTAGGAAATCTCTGTAAGTTTGAGGCCTGCCAGGACTACAGAGTGGGTCTTCCTCTTCAGTTAAACCTCTCTGGAAACACCTTCAAAGATACTGCCAAAGATGTGTCTTCTGTGTGATTCCAAATCCAGCCAAGGTGACAGTAAACATTAATTATTATCACATTTCTCAGACTGTACAGTCAGCAGCCTAAGGCTGAATCAGAGAATGTCCCAAGAGTCCCCTAAGAGTATTTCATGAGGATTGACTTCCCTCAAGAGATTCCTGGGAAGTGACCCGTCAAACTCACTGTGGTCCACCAGGACCCTCTGGGATGCCCATCTTGCTTGTTCTATGAAGTAGATGTGCAGCTGGAGACAGTAGTGCTTATGAGAGAGGTGTCAGGGGCAGCCTCTCTGCTGGCACAAGCTGTGTTCTGTCCTTAATCATGAGCCCTCTCCAAGTAAAGGAATTGAGGAGAGAGGTCTGGTGATCTCCAGACTCTTAGCTGAGTCTACTGCACCTGCACATTTGCTGCTCCAGGGATCTCAGAGCCCCTTCTGTCTACTTGGGCTTTGCCCACTGTAGGCAAAGCTGTGGGCAGCTCAACAGCTTCTCCACATGAGCCTAAACTTCTCTCTACCTGTCTCTCCTGGGGCTACCTAACCTACACAGGCAGGTGGAATCAGAATCAACTCTGGGCCCCTAGGCAACTCATATTTTTGTAGGGAAGAATTATTTTTTGTTTTGTTTTGTTTTCTGAAGAGGCGTGTTTTCCTTCTTCCTGAGCCAAAGGTTAGAAGCATAAGCTTTGTGCTTCATTGTAAAAACCAATTGATTTTCATATAAGCAAAACACCTATGGTCAGTTCAAAAGATGGTTATTGTGGAGGTATGTTTGCAGCTCAGCCCTGTCATGGAGCCCAGCACCCTTTCTATCCACCTGAGGATCCCATCCTGGGAGCAAGCAGTCAGGCCAAGAGCCCAGGAAACCCGCAGCCACACAACAGAGATTCACTCCATGTACTCTATGCATTTGTCTTGAAGCCCAGAAGTTCTTAGGATAATGCAAGATCTCATAACCTGAACCTCCATCCAGGCTCACCCTGTGTCTGTCTGCTTTGTATCCTTGCTGTGCTCAGGTCTCCTTTCCAAGAAGGATCCACACAGCTTCCAGTACTCACTGCCACCCTGCTGCAAGCCTAGTGGTGTGGAGTATGCCAAACCCATAAGGAACAGGCCTGAATGCCCAGTTTCAGGCTCTGATTATGCCCTGAACTGGGGCTCAAGGGGTCTCTGTGGTACCTACGGATGGGGGGGGGGACGACTACAAAGCTGAGAATGCACATTGAGCAAAGGCTTAGATTATTCTTGACTGATGGCCACTCCCACTCTATACCTCCTGAGCATGTTCTAAACAGAACATTGTTGACCCTATGTTGGCCACACTTTCCACATTGCTGGCTCTGCAGCCAGGCAGGCATCTCCCTCAGTCCCAGTTACTCTCCATGGAAAAGTGTCCTGTTGCCCATGGGACATTGTGACTTTAAGCTTCAAAGGAGCCACACTAATCAGGTTCTTCCCTTGCAGCCACACACATTCTCCTGGGTCTATGGCCGCAGTTGGGGAGTGGTCCTGTGCGCGCTGCACCTTCCTGAACCCTGCCGGCCAACGCCAGTGCTCCATCTGTGAGGCCCCCAGGCACAAGCCAGATCTTGACCAGATCCTGCGGCTCAGTGTAGAGGAACAGAAATGGCCCTGTGCGCGCTGTACATTCCGGAACTTTTTAGGCAAAGAGGCTTGCGAAGTGTGTGGCTTTACCCCAGAGCCTGTTCCTGGAGCCCCTCTGCTGCCCATTATCAATGGGGTCCTGCCCAAGCCACCCACCATACTGGTGGAACCAAAGGGCAACTGCAAGGAGGAAGCAGGGCCTGTGCGGACAGCAGGGCTGGTGGCCATGGAGCCAGCCAGAGGGCACTCTGAGGAAGAAGAAGAAAAAAAGGAACAGGAAGATGAAGGGGAAGGGGCAGAGTCTGGTAGTGGTTGGGCATGCCAGCGCTGTACCTTGCATAACACACCAGTGGCTAGCTCTTGTTCTGCCTGTGGGGGACCCCGGAAACTGTCATTGCCACGCATCCCCCCGGAGGCCCTGGTGGTTCCAGAGGTTGTGGCCCCTACTGGCTTCCATGTTGTTCCTGCTCCATCCCAGCCTATCCTCCCTGGAGAAAGTGCTGAAGCTGATTCTCCTTCTACCAGCCAGGGTCCCACCTCCACTGACCAGGAGCCCCCCAGGGTACTACCCTTCAGCTCCTTCTCACCCACCCTACAGAACAACCCTGTACCCAGAAGCCGCCGGGAGGTCCCCCCTCAGCTTCAGCCACCTGTGCCTGAGGCTGCTCAGTCCTCGACCTCCACAAGCTCCAAAGGGCCTCCACAGGGCCCTGGTAGAGCTGCAGCTGGGGCCTCCCGCCTAGCTGAGTTGCTATCAGGCAAGGAGTTGCTATCAGGCAAGCGACTGAGTATGTTGGAGGAGGAGGCCCCGGAGAGCAGCCCTGCCCGATGTGAGTCGTGCAGTGATGTCATTGACCTGACTGGAGACACTGTGCGCTACACACCTGCCAGCCCCTCCAGCCCTGATTTCACCACCTGGTCATGTGCCAGGTGCACACTTAGGAACCCCACAACAGCCCCCAGGTGTTCAGTGTGTGGTGGCTCCAAGCTACATGGTTTCCAGGAGCACAGTGAACCCCCTACCCATTGCCCCGACTGTGGTGCTGACAAGCCTGGCCCCTGTGTTGGTTCCTGTGGACGAGCTCCCTCAGCACACAAGGCTGCCCGTCTCTTGCCTGATCGTCTGGGCCAATGGGCCTGCCCTGCCTGCACCCTGATTAACACACCTCGGGCCAAGCACTGTGCAGCCTGCCATACACCACAACTTCTGGTGACCCAGTGCCGGGGGACTACACCCCTGAGGCGCAGGGAAAGCATGCATGTGGAGAAGCGGAGGCAGACAGACGAGGGCGAGGCCAAGGCACTCTGGGAGAACATAGTGGCTTTCTGCAGAGAGGTAAGTAGCTTCTTTTCTGAAAGCCAGCTTGGCCCAAAGTAACATTTACCTCCACTATCCATGTTACACTCCCTCATATGGAGTCCCAGACCTCCCATGTGTGAGCCCACAGAGAGATGAGGATATGATGAGGCTGTCCTACACGGGGAACCATATCCTGTTAAAGCTCAAGGCTGGGACACCTGGTGTTCGCTTGAACTGCAGAGCCTGAGCCCTGGGTGGCTTCACCCTTGGGTCAGCTGAAGGAGCAGCTGGAGCTGTGCCATCCTCCCAGGCTAATGTTAATGTTCACTGTGGCTGCTTGCCATTGGCCTGCAGTGTCCCCATGCCATTCAGGATCATCCTGATGGTGAGCCCTTCAAACCATTCAGAGTTGCCCTAGCCCCAAGGTTGGTCTAATGTGCAAGAGCCCCACCCCAGTCTTCTAAAGCTCTCTTGGGAGGGTGGGGGTCTTTCCCCCAAAAGGTAGAATGGAATCATTCTGGGCCTGAGGCCGCCCTGCCCAGCCTGAGTGTCCGGCCATGTTCCTGCAGAATAGTGTGAACTTTGTGGATGACAGCTTCCCACCCGGCCCTGCATCTGTCGGCTTCCCAGTGGGTGACAGCGTCCAGCAACGAGTGAAACAGTGGCTGCGGCCCCACGAAATCAACTGCTCTGTCTTCAGGGACCATGGCACTCCGTGGTCAGTCTTCCACACCCTGAGGCCCTCTGACATCCTACAGGGGCTGCTGGGGAACTGCTGGTGAGGCTCCAGGTTCCTGCCAGACAAGCTTAGGGGAGGAGGATGGAGGCTGCTGGTCCAGTTCTGGGCATGTTATAAAGTTGCCTGGCTCCATCCAGGTTCCTGAGTGCGCTGGCAGTATTGGCTGAACGTCCTGACCTTGTGGAGAGAGTGATGGTCACACGTAGCCTGTGTGCAGAGGGTGCCTACCAGGTGCGGTTGTGCAAGGATGGCACGTGGACAACAGTGCTGGTGGATGACATGCTGCCCTGTGATGAGGCTGGCTTTCTGCTCTTCTCACAGGTGGGACAACAAGGTGGGAGGCAGGGTCAGGAAACCAGGCAGCCTCTGACTTTACTCCCTCCCCCAGGCACAGCGGAAGCAGCTGTGGGTGGCCCTCATTGAGAAGGCACTGGCCAAGCTGCACGGCTCCTACTTTGCCCTCCAGGCAGGCCGTGCCATTGAGGGCCTGGCCACACTCACTGGTGCCCCTTGTGAGAGCCTGGCACTGCAGGTCAGCTCCACCAACCCCCGAGAGGAACCTGTTGACACTGACCTCATCTGGGCCAAAATGCTGAGTTCTAAGGAGGCTGGGTAAGGCGGTCACTGCCATGGTCTGTGGCATTGGGAGGACAGAAGAGGTGGAGTGGGGGCGAAGTTGGGGGCAGTACCCTCTGACTGTGCCTGTGTCTAACAAGGTGCTCTAGTGCAGCTAGCATAGCCAAGAAGTGTAACTAGTACTCCATTCTTGGTAGCCACTCTGAAAAGGCTATATCCTGCCCCAAGTAGCCACACAGGAAGAGCCCAGATCTCATTATGTCTCACTTAGGAAAAGACAGGCAAGAGTGAGTCCATAGAGGCACCCTGAGGAGTGGGAGGAGGTGTTCTGAGACATGTCACCCCAGTCAGTGTTGTGAACCTTCACTACCTTTCCCAAGGCCTTCCAGAGTAGACCCAAAGACCTACAGAAGCCCTGGGCCTAGGAGAGAATGCCAGAATCCCTGCTTCGGGCTGAACCTGGGCAGTGCTACTTACTGCTTATGAACCATGTCAGGCCTAAGCCTTCAGAAACCAGCTTGTTCTAGCCCAGGCATTCTGAGCCCATCCAGAGTGGGCCAGTGCTTCCTGAAAGCATGTGCCACGTGGGTCCCAGACTATACCCCCACATTCAAGAAGGGCCATCTCCCCTGCTGTCCATCCATTTCATCAGCCAGGGCCACTCTGCCTACACAGGTTCCTCATGGGTGCCTCCTGCGGGGGAGGTAACATGAAAGTGGATGATGCAGCCTATGAGAGCCTGGGTCTTCGTCCCCGCCACGCTTACTCTGTCTTGGATGTTCGTGATGTTCAGGGCTCCAGGTAAGGGCCCAACTGTCTGAGGATGGACAAGTGTGTGGACATGAGGCACATAGTCTTGGTTCTCAGTCCTGTGATCCACAGGCTCCTGCGACTTCGGAACCCATGGGGCCGCTTCTCCTGGAATGGCAGCTGGTCGGATGAGTGGCCACATTGGCCAGGGCACCTGCGAGCTGAGCTCATGCCACACGGTAGCAGCGAGGGTGTTTTCTGGATGGAGTATAGTGACTTTATCAGGTACTTGGATGCCCTCATCCCATGGCCAGATCCTCAGGGAGCTGTCCTAGGGAAACAGCTTGTCGGTGTCCTAGCTGCTACAGGCTTCTGAAAGGCAGCTCTTGGTCTGGCCAAGGAATTTAGGTCTATATGAAGCAGGGCTTGTGTGTGTTATTCTGCACCCCCATGGCGTTCAGGAAACGTCAGTTTGCTGTCACTGGAGAGAAACAGTTTAAAAGCAGGAGTGGGCCGGGCATTGGTGGCACACGCCTTTAATCCCAGCACTCAGGAGGCAGAGGCAGGCGGATCTCTGTGAGTTTGAGACCAGCCTGGTCTACAAGAGTTAGTTCCAGGACAGCCTCCAAAGCCACAGAGAAACCCTGTCTCGAAAAAACAAAAACAAACAAACAAAAAAACAGCAGGAGTGAATAGGTATATTAGCACACATATCTGTAATCCCAACGCTCCAGCATCTGAGGCAGGAGGATTTCAAGTTCCTGATGTACATAATGAGTCCCAGGCCAGCCTGGGCTATATGAGACCCCATCTCAAAAGCAAAACAAAACTTCAAAAATTTCAGCACATGAAGCTGACTCAGTTGCTATAGATCTGGCAAGGCAGAGCAAAGTTGCTCACCTCGTTGCCTCCGAGAACCAGGAGACAGGAAGAGGCCAGATGTACCCTTCAAAGACCAGACCTCCAGTGTCCTACTTCCTCCAACCAGTCACCCCCTCTTGATAGCCTGTTCGTTCAGCTAGGAACTCATCAGTGGCTTCACCCACTGATGAGGTCAGTTCCCTGCTGATACTTCACATGCAAACCACAACAGGGTTATGGCCTAGAGAAGTGCTTCCTGCTTAGAGGTCCTTTCCCGAAGAGAAAGGGGTTCCCATGGCAGGGATTGGGTGGTAGGAGACAACTAAAAGAGAACAGTGAACCAGGGAGACTGTCATGAGTGCTGAAAGCTGAGCAAGAAAGACCATAGTGTGAGCACCGCATCCCAGAGCTCCAGAGGTGGGGCATTGGGCTGCACTATGCTCAGTCGCCCTTTTCCTCACTGTCTAGGTACTTTGACTCCGTGGACATCTGCAAGGTACACTCGGATTGGCAGGAGGCTCGGGTTCAGGGATGTTTCCCAAGCACTGCCAGTGGACCAGTGGGTGTGACGGCACTCACAGTGCTGGAGCGTGCCTCACTGGAGTTTGCCCTTTTTCAGGAGGGCAGCAGGTAGGTTGAGCACTATCCCAAGCTAGAAGCTCATGGCTATGATCACATGAGCACCCAGCCCATTATCTCTGGCCCTCAGGCGCTCGGATTCAGTAGACAGCCACCTCCTGGATCTGTGCATACTGGTGTTCCGGGCCACTTTTGGCACTGGTGGCCGCCTGAGCCTGGGCCGCCTCTTGGCCCACAGCAAACGTGCTGTTAAGAAGTTTGTGAACTGTGATGTCATGCTGGAGCCTGGCGAGTATGCTGTGGTGTGCTGTGCCTTCAACCACTGGAACCCTGCTCCACCAGGGCCCCCTGCCCAGGGTAAGGGCCCCAGCCAGATGAGGCCCACACCCGCCTTCCCACCCTCTGAGCCCCAAAGCCCACCCACGGGAAAGCTCCTGGCTCCCTTATCCACACCCCCCACAGCCTCCAGCCCCTCAGCAGGGGTCTCCCGAGGTGCCCCCGAGCCACCCGGCCACGTACTCGCAGTGTACAGCTCCAGGCTGGTCATGGTGGAGCCGGTGGAGGCGCAGCCAACCACACTGGCCGATGCCATCATCCTGCTCACTGAGAGCCGGGGCGAGCGGCATGAGGTGGGTGGGGTCCTGATGGGGGAGGGCAGCGGGTGGGCAACCACCAGCCCTGGCCCACCCACCCTGTGCCTGTGCCCAGGGCCGTGAGGGCATGACCTGCTACTACCTGACTCATGGCTGGGCGGGGCTCATCGTGGTAGTGGAAAACCGGCACCCCAAGTCCTACCTGCACGTGCAATGTGATTGCACCGACAGCTTCAATGTGGTATCCACACGTGGCAGCCTGCGCACCCAAGATAGTGTACCACCCTTGCACAGGTGAGTACCTGCTGTTTTTTCCCCCCACCTTAGGCCCTGATCTCCCGCTGGCTCTCATCAGTCCTCTCCTGCAGGCAGGTCCTGGTGATCTTGTCCCAGTTGGAAGGCAATGCCGGATTCTCTATCACCCACCGCCTGGCACATCGAAAGGCAGCCCAGGCCTTCCTCAGCGACTGGACAGCCTCTAGGGGTACCCACAGTCCCCCACTCACACCTGATGTGGCTGGTCTACATGGACCCCGGCCACTATGACTACAGTTCCCTAGGGCAGGGGCTGTGTGCAGATCCACCCACCTGCCCTCCCCTACATGCACTTTATGAGGGAGACCCCCAATGGAGGATGCTTGAACCAGAATCTCAGGACCCTGCCCAGGGAGCAGGCCTCCCAGCTGCCATGCAGAAAACTTAGAGCCAGGTGGGCTTCATTCCAGTACTTCTATCCTGAGCCCTGGGGACAGCTTCAGGTGGCCAAGGCCCAAATGGGGCTGCCCTTCCTGTGAATATGGGGTCACTTGATGTAGAGAGGCAGCCCAGATATATGTTCATAGAACCAAATCTGGGAGTTCAGAGGCCATGATCCTGCCTTGAGAGCCTGGACAAGCCTTTGTGGGGGCTCCGATCTGCTGCTTCCCCCCTTGGTTTGTTCCCAATCCCAGCTCCCTGCCTAATGAACAGGGTCCTGATATCCCTGGCACATGAGTGGCACATTGCAGGAAGCAGATGCCTGGTAGCCATCAGCCAGGGCTTGGGGACAGCTGCCCCTCCTGCAACACTATGCAATTCCTGGAGCACCTGCCAGGATCGAAGCCATGATGGGGTGGCAGGTCAGGAACCAGACCCAGCCCGGCTGTCTGGAGAAGCGCTCTGTCCTTAGCTTCCCTGGCCACAATCAGCACTGTCCCATGGCCTCAGTCTGTCCACAAAGGACACCCCCTACCCCAGTCCCGTCACAGACACATGTAAGGTGTGACTGACTACTCCCTCCCCTAGAGGAGGGAGCCAAGCTGCCCACCTTCCCAGCATTCCCCTAGCTGCTTGTCAAGATCAGAGCCCTTATCTGCCACATGGACGCCTGAGTCATTTCCTGGGCCCCCACCTGGCTGCCACTGTCCTGCAACCCCTTAGGTAGTGGGTAGCTTGCATGCCCACTGTCCTTGCCTCCATGGGGCTTGCAAGGATTTTTATATCTAGAGAAACATTCCCCTCCCCTCTGGGCCTCCTTTTACTCTGAGCTGTGAATATTTTTAACCCTGTAAATACGACCAGCTCTTCGAACACAGAGACTATTTTATCAGCTATCAGTCCCTTCCTTGTTCGATGACTCCACAGGCCGTTTCCACTCAGGCTCCAAGGACCAAATAAAAGCGTTTTGTTTTGTAAGGGAGCTTTCAGTCTTTTGTCACCCTCCCTGTCCCTATGCACACATAAACAGCCTATTCCAAAGGCCAGAATGGGGGGTCTCCTGGATAGAACTCTGCACAAGAGTACCAGGAGTTGTGGGGTGACAGCTCTCACTTTGCCTAAGGCCAGCCAGACTTCCTGGTGAGAATCCAGGTGAGACAGGCTGGAGCCAGACCCTAGGGTTTTAGCCCCACAGCCAGGTAGGACCAACATGGTGGGCAGGACAACATGTGTGCAAGTACTATTTTTTTTTCTTTCCTGCACTGGGGGGGATGAAGGCTGTCTGAATCCATCAGTCACCAAGAAGGAGCAGATGGAGCCAGAGGGTGAGTGGGACTGTAGCTGCTGCTCTCTTCTTGGCTGGTGTGCTGTGTCCCCTCCCGTCTTGGTGCAGGCTGGGCCCATCTCATATCACAGGTGACGTTAAGCCTCTCAGCCCATCTCTGGCCAGCAGCCCAGGCCCCTTCAGGAGCTAGAAGATGCCCCTGGGCAAGCGGGGACTGGGGGTTCACGGCCAGAGTGCACTGCGTAAGAGGCCTGTCACAGGCCAGCCCATCGAATGTGAAAGCAATTAAAGCCACCAGCAGTGTTCGCTCCAGGCGGGCCTCGGGCAGCGGGGCAGCTGCCACAACACATCTCACCTCACCGCCCACAGCGCCTTCCCTGCCCCGATGCGACTGCGCACCAGGCTGGACCTTCTCTTACAGTGGAGGGCAAGATCTGCACCTAAGCATACTTGGGGCAGGAGCCAGCTCTGGGCACATTTGACAGCTAAAGATCACTTACTCTTTCCTCTGCCCTACTCCACCTGGCACCCACCACACTGGCCTCTGCAACTCCAGCCCCAGAACAACTCAAGAAAAGGCAGGACTCCGGTGTCAGGGCAAGATGGAGGTCTAGCTATTGCATGCCCACCCACTCTGTTTGGTCCCAGCAAATACCTTCCCCTTCCCTTCCCCATGTACCCCAGCATATGGGGGAAGGGAACAAAGGGTTATTCAGTGGGGAGGTGTACAAATAAGCACAACTCTGGCTAGTATTGGGAGGGGGCTAGGGTTTCTCAAAAGGCTGCTGAAGGCTTGATTCTGGTTAGAGTAAATGGCCTGGAGGAGGGATGTGGACAAACTAGTCAAAGCAGTAAGTAGACTTCACACCATAGCATCAACAAGCTAGGCTAGTCAGGGGTGGATTGTCATAAGCAGGAGGTCACAAAGGTCAAAGCAACAAGACTAGTCACAAACAGTGGACATGACAGTTGTGAGGGGCTTTGCCCCCTTGTCTGTCCATCTCATCCTCCCTTCTCACAGTGGTGCCATGTTTCTTCCTAAGTCCTACCTTTCCAATAGCCATCAGCATGTGCCTGGCTTTCCCCAAATTCCTGGTCCCTATTGGCCCTGTGTCCCCATGGCCCTTTCTCCTGGACCCACTGTCTTCATTGCTAACCGTTATGGCCTTCCCAAAGTGGGTAGTGGCTGTTCTCACTTGTGAGGCATCCCTGTCAGAAGCACTTAGTGTACAAATTAGCCATGGCCTCCCTGCCTCCTTGTGCACAGCTCTGGGCACTGGGCTGACAGGGCTGCAGCTCCCGGCCCTCTTCCACCTACCCGGGGCACACAGCAGCCTGGTGTGGACCCCTGGCCACTGCTCACAACCAAGCAGGAGGTCCCTCCCTGCTGACCTACCAGGAATCTCCTGAACCCCAACTCTGAGTTAAAAGGAGTGTCCACCACAGGGTTTATTCAGTGAAATTCTGGGGGCTTCAAAGCTGAGGCCCAGCCCTTGGGTTACTCCAGGAGTGTCAGTCCCCAGTGTTGAAGGCAGTAGAAGGGCCTGGACAGAGGGCCAGCTCACAGGCCCCCCACTGCCCCACCCGCCATCCTGCCTGCCATTCAGGCAAGGAAAATCATCTATGACAGGCCCAGGAAGGCTGGCCCCGGGGGCCGCAGAGCAACGCACACAGCTCGACTTCCCAACATATGGCTGCTGTCGGCCCCAGGCACTGCTCAACCAGTGCCAGGCTCAGAGACTGGGTGGGGGCGTGGGCAGCCTGAGCTTGTCCCACCCACCTGGACAGGCCGACTGCTTCCTTTAAAGGAAGAGGCCCCTGTCCAGCTGGAATATTCCCATGAAAGTGAGTTTACAAACACCACCACCACCCACACATAAACAGCACCTGGCTCAAATCCTCAGGGATCACTGGAGTCTCATCCATCCAGTTGCCCAGCACATAGTGGCAGCCCTTTCCGACCCCAAGTTGGTGGATAACCCAGCATGTCCCAGAATGGGCCACTCAGATGCCATGGGCTCCACCCATGTCCTAACCTCCTGAGCCTAGGCATTCCCTATGCAGTTACCAGGTTCTGTTGCCTCCCTTCTTAAACCATGTATCCACTGTGGCTTCCTGGGGCCATCAAGACCTGCAGCCTCCAGCTGGTACAGAGCTTTAGGCACAATGCTGTCTCTGCAGTCACGTCCTCAGTCTGCTCCCCCATTAGCCTACAGGCCCCAAGGACACTTTGAATGTGCGAGAAAGGTGAAACCCCAAAGATGTCTCTTCCTCTGTGGACCAGGGATTTCACATGGACTCTGGATGCTGCCATGGGCCCTGTACTTGTAAGGTGTAAAATGCGCTGCAGCCAAGTATACTGTGTGGCACGCTGGGGCTTCAGAGTTGCTGCCACTCTATGGAATCCCTCTGTGCGTGGGCTTTAGACCCTGTTTGGCTCTAATCTCTGTCCCTCTGCCTACTGTGAAGTACCAGCCAGCCCCCATACCTGTCTTGGTGAGGGCTGCAATGCTGAGGGAATGAGACAGTGCAGAGTCCAGGAACTTCATCCAGCTCACGAGCCTCCAGCACACACGGGGCCAGTGCTAATGGAGGTGACAGGCAGCCAGCCATGGGCAGATCAAGCAGAGAAGGTTAATAGCTGAAAAAAAAAGCCTCCAGATGAGGTTAAAGGCAAGACCCACACCAGAAGAGACCACCAGGTCCCTGTCCTAGTGAAGGACACTATTAGGGCCTGAAGCTAAGACTAGGGCTCTCTACTCTGGAGAGGAAAGGGTTGCTGTTTAAGGAGTGTGGGCAGGGTCTCAGACTCAGGGTGACAAGCCCAAACACAAAGCTATGGAGTCTCAGCCTCCCGTCAGGAAGCAGAACCATCGCCTAGAGCTGACGGAACCCCACTGCTAGAAGGGTGGGTGGAAGACCCCAGAAGAGGCCTAATCCGAGGCAGGAGAGGAAGGGGAAATCACGAAAAGGATGGATGTGCTTGAGAGCATCATGGGCAGAAGGTGAGGGACTATCGGGCATACCAAGCTCTCCAGATCTCCATGAGCAAGGCCCAGAGCTCAGGAGCTTCTCCTCTAGGAAGCCCAGAAATAAATACATCCAGGTGATAGAAAAAACTTAGGGTCATTTTTGGATGTAGTCTTTCCCTCCCCTCTCACCCAGATTTCTGAAAAGCCCGTGAAAGGTGGTACTGCTGGGCATATGGGCCCCTCCAGTGCCCTCCTGCTTTTCTCGTTCTGGGTATCAACATATTCTAGCCATCTCCCTTCTCTGTGCTTCCATAGAGCTGGCCTAAGCAGTGATCACCTCTAGGGCTATTGACCTCATGCCTGGGATGCTACATAGCATGTCTCTGGGTTTCTTCTGCAGTCACCCTGAGCTGCACCAGACTTTGCTCTCTGCATGCTGAAGCCAGGCCATCCCTGGACAGTGGTGGCAACCTCCAGCCTGCCCCTGGTGTTGTCAGCCTGCCCCTGGTGTTATCAGACAGAAGCTGTTCCACAATTCCCAGAAAGGGCATGGCTAGAAGGTACAGAGCTATCCTTAGGAATAAGGCACGTATGCCTAGTGTCCCCATTTGTCTTAGAGTGGCCTGAGTCTGCCATCATCTCTAGTTAGTGCCCATGAGGAGCTGGACCCCTGGACCCAGGACTACTGGCACAATGGCTGCTCAAGCTGTCTCCCAGCCCCAGGCCACATGCATGGTCAGCTGGTTAGCTGGGCCAGGCAGGCAGAAAGGCATGCTATACCTTCCATAGCACCATCTCCAGCTCTGGGTGTCCCTCAGTTGGGGGTGGGCCGCTTTCGAGGAAGGTGGCATGGAGACAGGAGCCAACTAGACTGGAGAGGCCCTACTCCTTGACCAGTAACCCTTGGACTTTGGCCAAAAGCTGGGCCTTGGCCATTATATTGTCTGTCACACAGACATGAGAATCAAGTCCAGGTTCATGGGACCAAAAATACTCAACTCTGAGTGCTGCCCACCCTATGACTACCCCCATGTAGTGACCCAAAGTCACCAGAGAGCTTCCCTTCTTCCACAAGATCTAAACTGGAGAGGTTCCAGGAGCCAGGAGCCGAGTCTTGGGTTTCCTAGAGCCTCTTGACCTCTGTGCCTCTGCAGTGCAGGCCTGGGGTAGCAATCACTCTTTCATGCTTGAAATGACAGACAGTGGGCTACTGGGCTAAGGTGGCCTCCCCACTCACAGGCAGGAGAGAGAGAGAGAGAGAGAGAGAGAGAGAGAGAGAGAGAATTATCTGTCTGTGCCCTATGACATGCCCACATGCACCTCTGGAACTCACCACAGTTAGGCAAATTCCCCTGGGACCTGTCTAGGAAGTGTGACCCCAGGTGTGAAATTGTGACAACCCAGGAGCAGCTCTGGCCACGAACACATTAAAGGGAAGGAAATTCCAGCATTTATAGTGTGCTGGACACTCCCAATCCTCCTGGGTCCTTTGTCACCTCACAGTCCTTCTAGGAAAAGCCATCAGTGGGGGAAAAGAGACACTTCAGACAGTGGGCACAGGCACTGCATCTGTCCCGAAGCAGGGATGAACCTTCTAGGAAGTGGAGAATGAGGTGAGGTCCGGGAGTGGCATGTTGAATGCAGGAGTTGGGGGTGTTAGTGTATCGTGACCATTAGCAGGTCGAGCAAAGGGCGTGGGAGACGCCTCCTGTTTGGAGTAAAGGAACCACACAGGCACTCTGACTTGCCCAGGGGAAGGTGGCGAGGACTCGACTCTTAGGTTCCACCGCCTGAGCTCTGGACTTGGCCCCTCCTGGTCCGCTCTGGAGACTCCCTATCCTAGGGTTCAGCACCCAGGCCCTGGTTTGGGTGGACAGACGGCTGACAGGGGCCAGAGACCTGACGGATGTGTGCTGACGCCCCCTCTTTCCGCTGCGGGGACCCGGGAGACTTGGCTGCCTCTGCGCACCCCCGCGGCAGCCTGCAGGCGTCGGGGGCGGGGACGATGCCAGGAGCCCCTCACTCGGCCCGCACCTGCGCGCCACTCCAAGCTCTTGCAGCACCGTGGCGGGTCCAGCCTCCCTCCCTTCAGGAGCCGTCCCAGCGCGTCCACTGAATGTGCGGGGCGGCGTGCAAGGAGGTGGGAGCCGTCTGCGGCTGAGGCTGTCCCGCCTCCCTTGCCCAGCCTGGTCCGAGGTCGCTGCGTTTGGGAGCTCGCGCAGTGGCGCACGCGCTTCGCTGCCAACTTTGGTGGGCGCCCGGGAGTCGGCGTCGAGGGACGCGAAAAGCGGCGGCGGCGGCGGCGGCAGTGGCATCACGGATTCGCTACCGCTTCCAGCTCTGGACCTCAGTTACCCCGCGGTGTCCGCAAGTGGAAGTTTGCCCTTCCACGGGGCCTGGCGCACACTTGGCAGACACCATAGGCTCAATTCAGCAGACGCGGTAAGGCAGACTGGCAGCACTTCCAGTGAAGTTGGGGCTCAGGCTCCGGACGGAATGGCTGTAAAGGGCTGCTTGTGGTCCCGGCACCTTGAGGTATCATCAGGGCGGTGCCCGCAGCGGGGAGGCAAAAGGAAGGTTTGGGGATCTCAGCTGTCCATCTCAGCTCCTGTGCGGATCCCTGTAGGGTACTGAATCCCAAGAGGGTTAATGAATTGGTGGACTGGCCCCTCCAGCTATTAGTTCCCCTGACCAGGCACGCAGCCAGGGCGTCTGGGAGCTCGTGTCAGGTCATAAGTTGGGGCTGGGACTGGGTGGCGGCAGGATGAGTGTGCCTTTGTGTTTGTGTGGTGGAGGGATGTGCACTGTGGTGGACCAGTGCCCAGCATCCTCTCGGTCTTGGAGAGGTCAGCACCTCGGGTGTCTGATCTGGAGGGAAACACAGGAGCCCCAACCTCTGCGTCCAAGGACCCAGGAGGACCCCCAAGCCAGGGCTGGGAGGTGGGTTGAGCAGTAGCACCGATCAGCACAGCTGTGTGGCTCCCAGGGCTCGGTGATCGATGGCCCCGCACAGACGCCTGTGTTGCCTGAGCACACATGCTTATCTGTCATCACATCTTTCGGGAGCGAGAGCAGGATGCAGGCAGAAGAGGCTTCTTCTATACATGCCAAGTCCAGGCTGGGTCTGCAACCCCTCAGGGAGCCCCTGACCCTTTCCTGAGCCAGCATCCATCTCCCAACCTAGAAGTCTCCCTCAGCCTGTGTTTGCCCCATCTCCAGAGCCCGCCTGGCCATGTGGACGCCCCTGTGTGGTCCCAAATCTTTTGGCATGCAATGCTTTTCACCCTTCTAGCTGCCCACCTAAGGTGCCAACCTGGTATTTGGTGAGAATAAAGATGAATATCTACCATGGGCAAAGGGCAATGGCCAGCTGGCAAGAAAGCTGAGTTCAGCAACTGCCTTCCACTCCCAACCCTGCTGTTCAAATCATGAGACTCATGTGTGTCTGCATATATGATGAGTCTATGTCCAAGTGTGAGTCACAGCCGTGTCGGCATGTGTCTTTGAACATAGTCTGTATTGTGGGTATATCCTTGTGGACAGCCATATCCATTCTGAGTGGGAAGTGGTAGGGATGTGTGTGCCCTTGGTGGCACACCCTGTGCCTGGTTAGCTCAGCCAAGCAGTTGTTCCTCCAGGCATAGAGCAAGGATTCCTTGGGAATCTTGCATGCTTGTATGCACACACCCAAAGCCTATGCGAACATGCACCATGCACGAGCACAAGTGCTATGATAGTGGACGGCCCAGGTGGTGGCCCAGATGGAGTGAAGAGGCGCTTCGGAGCCAGCGTGCAGGACGGGAGAAGAGGGTCTTGGCTGAGCGCGGTCACTGCAGGCTCAGTCGCTGACCCGCCTGAAGCCACCCAGATGGAGCTGGGTTGAGCAGGTGGCTGTGCCATGGGGCCATGCTGTAACATCCACTCCCCCCAGCCTGGGTTGGGGGACCTCATGTGTGGCTGACCCCCCTGAGAGACCTCCAGTGTCTACTTGACACTCCATTAGCTGGCTCGGGCATACATACATGCACTCACACACACATTTGCACATGCAGTGTTAGTCGGATCTCAAGTTTCTGGTGGCTTCTAATCTCGGTGCTTTGCTTCTGTTTCTGGCAGGGGCAGGTGGCTCAACCAAGAAAGTGTCTCTAGAGGGCCATCAAACTGGTGGCTCTAGTCACACACGGCTGCTTTCATTCTCTTACCAAATGCTCAGTGGGTACCTGTCTGGTGCAAAGAGCAGAGACTAAATGGGAACCAGTTATCCCAGAAGCTGACCTGCAGGGCCAGCTTGGCTCCAGCAGTGGGGATTTCTACAGGGTCACTTGCTAAATAAAATACAAGATACCCAGTTAAACTTAATTTCAGAAAAACAATGAATATTTTCTTAGCATAATTTCTAGGTCATCTTAGACCATTACAAACTACTTACTTATGTCTACCTGGGTACCTGGGCCTTCATTTTTTCCCCTTTAATTTTCTCCTTTCTTTCTTTCTTTCTTGTTTGTTTGAGACAAGGTTTCTGAGTAACTGTGCTGGGTGTGTCCTGGAACTCACTCTGTAGACCAGACTGACCACAAATTCACAGAGATTCACCTGCCTCTGCCTCCAGAGTGCTGAGACTAAATGTGTGCACCACCAACGCCTACTTATTTCTCCTTTTTTTTTTTTTTTTGACAGAGTCTCACTTTGTAGCTCAGGATGGCTTAGAACTCACAGAAATCCCCCTGCTTTAGCTTCCCAAACTATGGGATTACAGGCCAGTGCCACCACATCCCTCCCAAAAGAATGAAAGGCCTGCACTGCAAAGGCCTGCCAGCCTTCAGGCAAGGCAAATGGGGGCTTCTTGGGTTCTGACGAAGGGACCCCTAGTGAAGAGGAGCAGAGAGTGAGAAGGCCTGGTGTTAACTGGGTCCTTGTCTCTCCTATCTGCAGGTAGCCATGGTGCCCAGGCTTGCCTGCTAGCAGGCTGCCATGTCTCGAGAGGCAGGTTCATGCCGAGTGGGCACTGGGACAAGGGCACGGTCACGGAAGCCCAAGAAGCCACACTACATCCCGAGACCCTGGGGGAAGCCGTACAACTATAAGTGCTTCCAGTGCCCCTTCACCTGCCTGGAGAAGTCACATCTCTATAACCACATGAAGTACAGTCTGTGCAAAGACTCCCTCTCGCTACTGTTAGATTCTCCTGACTGGGCGTGCCGCCGAGCACCACCCTCCCCCAGGCCTCGGGTGCCCACCCCCAACTGCTCCACAGACTTCTCAGACTCTGGTAGCCAGCCTGACAGCCTTTCCCAGCGTCGTTGTGGCAGGGGGCCCAAACCTGTGCCAGAGGAGTCCCCAGGGTCACTGCCCCCTTTGGCTAGAGCCATCCGGAAGGGTCCAGGCCCCAGTGGTCTCTTGACAGAGTCATGGAAGCCAGGGCTAAGTAGTGGTCTGATGAGTGGGGCTCTAGGGGCTGTAGCTTCATCAGGCTCTGAGAGTAGTGTGCCCTGCTACCCACCACCTACCCAGGGAGAGTTCCCTGAAGCCCAGAGCCTCCATTTGTCATTGCTGGGTGTCAACTACCCTCTTGGTCCAGGCCTCTTCTCTTATCTGGGGCCCTCACTGGCTGCTGCTGCAGCCCACATGCCATTCCTAGCCTCAGCAAGCCCCTTGCTGCCCCCTGCAGCCTTCCCAGCCCCACAGACACCCGAGCGCCCAGGCCTGGCTCCCCGCCTGTACTACCCGCTGCTACTAGAGCACAACCTAGGACACCCAGCAGGCAGGGCTGCCCCTGCCAAGTCCTCTGTGCCCCTCAAGGGGCCTCCTGGGGCTCTGGCTGCCCCTAGGCTGCTGAAGGTGCCTGGGCCTGGGCCAGGGGCACCCTGGCCCCATGGCACTTCCAGAGACCCAGGGCATGAAGGAGAGCTGGAACGAGTGGCTCAGAGCAACCAGCAGAAGAGGCTGCCCCCGGGCAATATGCCTGAGCTCCCAAAGGCCCCCTTGAACCTGGCAAAATTTGGCTGTCAGAGCAGGTGGGTATCAGGAGCTTTGGGGTCTTGGGTGGGGGTGTTAGGGGTGGGCTGGGTGGGAGATTAAGCCATCTTTAGCTTACTCACTAGGAGTAGAGACTCCAGTGAGTCCCACAGAGGGACCAGATACCAGAGTCCCTTTTCCTTTTTTTTTTTTCTTTTCTTTTCTTTTCTTCTGGTGTCCAGTTCTAGACTAGGGCCTCTTCTTTTCCCTGGGGTATGGGTGACACTGAGCAGAAGACACAGGCTGGGGTTAGGGGGCCATGTGGGGCTAGGATAGCCTTCTGACTGGCTTTTACTTCTCAGCCTGCCAACAGGGTCCTCCCTGATATTCTGGCCTGAGGACAAGGAGCCAGGTAACCCTGAGGCTCCAGGCTCTGATGTCCACCTTCTGCAGCAACCACAAGGCCAAGTACTGGGAAGTCCGGGTCCAGTGGGAGAGGACCTGACCCAGGCCTTTGGTGACTACGCCAGGGTGGAGCAGTGCTTGGGGCAGCTGGCACCGGCTGGGGATCTAGCCCCTAGACCCCTACGGGAGCAGCTTGGCAAGATTCGCCGTGAGCTGTTCACCATCCATCAGGCACTGGCCCGGGCAGCTCGGCCACTGGACACACCCCTGGACCTTTCAGTGAAGCGGGTGCCTACCAAGGGAACTAAGGCACCTGCAGACCCCTGGGGGCTGCCTGAACCAAGCCCCATGCTGGCAAGGGTGGCCTCTGAGCCCTCCGGCATCCTGGGCCCTGTACTGGAGCCTTTCTCCAGCCATACCACCAAGTGTGAGGCAGACTCCAGTGTCCCACCTCCTGTCCTCCCTCTCCAGGCCCCTGAGGACCATGTAATTCCTGGTAGTGGCTGGGGCAGTCGTCTTGGGGCTGGCAGTTCCCAGACCCCTAAAGATACCCCAAGTTTGCAGATCCTCCCAGGCACTGAGGTCTGTCCACAACCACCTTAATGTTTGGGCTCCTCTCCCTGACCTGGGTCCTATTGTCTGGACCTGTCCAGTGTCGGTGTGCATGTGTTCTGGACAGATCCCCCCATTCCCCCCACCAGCCATTGGTAGAGGTTTGTCTCTGGGGTCATATGGACATACCAAGGTCATGATTTATTTATTAAACAGAGTTCCAGACATTAAAATAGAAACCATCTTCAAACACCTTACTTGGGTCTCTTTCCTTTTCTGTCCCTGCATAAGCACCTGGGCAACCTCGAGGACATGTCCCTGGTCTGAGCATCCCAGTGAGCAGTGTCTTGGACATCATGGGGGTTCACCTTCAGCCTCAAAGTCCTTATTGTAGACTTGGTTCTTCCAAAGAGTCTGGGGCCAATGGGTGGGCTGGGTACACTCAATTAGAGGAATCAAAGAAGAGTGGCAGAGAGGCAGACATGTCAGGATGACCTGGCCTGTTTCAGCTCACTGAGGATGGGCAAGGACCCTGCTTGTCCTTGGGCCTGAATCCATCCAAGCAGCCCAATGCCAGCTTTGCCTGTGGTGGCCAAAGCCTCCTGCCTTCCATGGCTCCAGGCAGCTCACCCCGTGTGGCCTTCCTGGGCCCCCCGCCAGTCCCTGCAGCCATGATAGGCATCGGTGGCCTTCACAGCTCACTGCTTCCCTCCCAGTACAGCCCTGCTTGGCCTTCCACAGACCAGGGTGGGAGACAGCCAGGGAGGGCTTCTGGGGCCCCCCAGCCATAGCAAATTACTTTTCTCCCTGGGGAGCTGGGCTATAGCCTCCATGCCCACCCAGGAATGCCCTGAAGTACAAGCTGCCCTCAGAGGAGGCACTGTTCTCACTGGGGCTGGACTGGCCAGGCTGGGGCCAGACCAAACAGGACCTTCAGCTGCTCCATTAACCACCTACCTGGTGATAGCATCAGGTAGCCCCCCCCCCCCCCTGGGG